TCTGTCTTCCCCTCTAGTACAAGCTCTGTCTTCCCCCTCTAGTACAAGCTCTCTCTTCCCCCTCTAGTACAAGCTCTCTCTTCTCCCTCTAGTACAAGCTCTCTCTTCCCACTCTAGTACAAGCTCTCTCTTCCCCCTCTAGTACAAGCTCTGTCTTCCTTCTCTAGTACAAGCTCTCATTTCCCACTCTAGTACAAGCTCTCATTTCCCCCTCTAGTACAAGCTCTCTCTTCCCCCTCTAGTACAAGCTCTCTCTTCCCACTCTAGTACAAGCTCTCTCTTCCCCCTCTAGTACAAGCTGTGTCTTCCTCCTCTAGTACAAGCTCTCATTTCCCACTCTAGTACAAGCTCTCATTTCCCCCTCTAGTACAAGCTCTCTCTTCCCCCTCTAGTACAAGCTCTTTCTTCCCACTCTAGTACAAGCTCTCTCTTCCCCCTCTAGTACAAGCTCTGTCTTGCCCCTCTAGTACAAGCTCTCATTTCCCACTCTAGTACAAGCTCTCTCTTCCCCCTCTAGTACAAGCTCTGTCTTCCCCCTCTAGTACAAGCTCTCATTTCCCACTCTAGTACAAGCTCTCATTTCCCCCTCTAGTACAAACTCTCTCTTCCTCCTCTAATGTGCATTGAATACTTGTTTGGTTGTTAACCATATACACTATCAGCAGATGACCTGATAGATCCAAATCAGTTCAAATTATCAAGATCAATATTTCTCTAGGGTTCTATTACAATAAAGCTTTTAGCTCACATCTGGAATTTATATTACACACTGTATATTGTATGCTGTATATATTACACCTCCTGGGATTTGCTAAAGTGTAAAATAGTTGTAACCATGGTGACTAATACTGCAGTATTTATCTTAGCCAAATAACTGGCTTGTTTTATCTATTTGGTGAACAAGATAACATCATCCTATGAGAATTTATGATATTTCAGATATATGCTTGCAGTAAAAATACACACAAATAATCACATTTGCTGTATTAGAAGCATGTCTCTAATAAAAAAGTACACATTGCAATCTTTGTATTTATTATGTGCTACTAATAAATAAAATATGGTATTGTATTTTGTCAACCATTAATATTTAACACAGAGTAAGCTTTTCACAGTATAACTTTAAATGTTTCAATGGTGATTAATGTGATTTTTTCAAAAGATTTGAATTTCAACTTTTCAACAATTTTCTGTCAAATCTAAAACTAACTGACAAGGGTTGGCAGAAACCTACTTCAAACTAAAAATTGAAAATACAAGTGCTTTTATAACTAAAGTTATAAGCTCAAGAATATTTTAAATCATCTACAGATGTTACCTAATGACGACTACATCTGGTTTTCATCTTAGATCTTAGTATAATGACATCAGTACAGCTAGTACATGATTCAAATACACATTTTGTTATGCATTCCATGACATGTGGTAGTTTCTCTTTCAGTAGTGCCTACACTTTGCATAAATTTGCATAAATTAGGTAGCAATAGTTTGAGAAAAAAGTTGATGTCAGCATTCATTACATGTATGTATGTATTTTCATGTCAAGATTACATAGCAACATTTTGTTGTTTTTTTAACTACGATGCTAATAGCCCCCTCAAAGTAATGTTAGACTTGTCTTTATAAGAGAACTGATGTATTGTGTAATCCACAATATATTCAAGGTCTATCTGTTATATCCAACTTTAGTTCCTTGCAATGGTCATCACCACTGTAACTATAGAAAAGTTAATGCCTGAACTATTGATATAGCGCCCTCTTGTGGCAGGTTACCAAAAACCTTAGGTGTTTACAGCGTAGTATCGTAATGGGGCTTCTAAGGTGAAGAGGCAACTTTCTATGATCAATCTCCAAATTTAGCAGGAGTCGTAATGATAGACTGAAATACTTAAAGCTTGATGATCTTAATTGGGAGATCTGCATGGTATTACATGCACAGATGTGTGGTGGGATCAAAGCTGATGGCTTTTGGGAGATCTGCATGGTGTCACATGTACAGATGTGTGGTGAGATCAAACCTGCTGGTAGCTTTTGTGAGATCTGCTTGGCGTATATATCAATATATTTCATTCATTAGTAAGAGTGTTTTTTCCGCTTCTTACAAAACTGGTTCCATGGATACTAATACTCTGAAGATTACTGTAAATCTGTATTACATTGAATAGCGCCCTCTGGTGGCAGTTAAATTTATTCCTCTGTTTATACATACTATTTAAAGTATAATGCCAGTAAACTAATAAAGTCTATGATAAAAATGAATAGCCTTGGGAACACTTTTAAAGCATAGCACATTTTATTATATCATAAATATATATTGGGAAGCAATTTACATACAGTACCAGTAACTTGTATATTTGAAAAAGAAAGTCTGAATAACATAAGGCTGAATTGAAGCAGATTTTGGCAGTAAGCTCTACTTGCAATATTTCACAGAAGCAATGTCAAACAACATAACTAACCACAACCACCTTCTATTTGACACATGTGTACAATACATATTATTATTGATAGTGTTCGGCCATACTGAATGCCTGATTTAATTATTACATGTACATGTATTGTCATTATTTTCACCTTATGGTTGATGATCAACATTTTTTTAGTAATAGTAATGTTTTATCAATGTTAACGAATAAGTAAAATGTTATTTACAACTCCTTGCCACAAAATCTTTTTTTTTTGCGTACATGATTATTTCTGTAATGCCTTTCATGAGTTATTGTGGCCTACAGGCAATATCGAATAAGAGCGTCAGTGTTCATTTTGACTGGATGATTCATCATCGCCTTGTAAAATATCATCAAAAACCACCCACTGATTTTTCTCTGGGTCTCTTATTGCAAAGAGTGACGATTCATACTCGATCGATTGATGATGTCTCCATTTTGTGATCACGTGATTTACATAGACATCGGCTATCAAAGAACATGGCCTTGTATCCTT